TTCAATGCAGAAAGGGCCAATCAAGTTTTTAGTTTCTCTTGGATAAATCAAGTGAGATTTTTTTTGTATTATTCTAAACCTAACATTCTAATTTTGTTATTTTTCCGGTTTCTTTTCTTAATAGATGTATTTTATTATTATCATTTTTTTTGCATAGATCAAATTAACTAAGTTGTTTCATTTCTTCTAAACTACTGAATAACTATAAATCATAAATCTAATATCAATTATATGTATAATTTTTCATATGTTTACTTTTTTTTTTTCTAAATTGATCATTTGAATAATTTGACAACTTTACATTCTAAAACATAAAATATAAAATATTTATAATTCTTAGTTGGTTAATTGTTATTTTATCTAATACCTAAATGCTAAAATTTATTGTTCATAAACTTTTATTTATGGATATTTTTACCTTCTATCATTCTAAAATTTCTGAAGTAGTATATTATATATTATTTTTATTACTTTATAAATTTTAATTAAATTTTTTAATGCGTAACTTTAATACTTACACCTCGAAACCTTGAGAAGTTGAGATTTATACTCACCTTTTTCGGTTATCATGCCTGAACTATGGTTTTCACCTTCTAAAACCTTGCCTACACCAACGTAATTTGATGTAAACCAACATAATTTGATTTGATGTAAATATGCGCTACTAGAGAGAGAGAGAGAGGGAGGGAGGGGATATACCTCTTCAGCCTCCTATACTCCCTATCAGCGGGATTTCGCCCCCTTCGACGCTTTCCAGCTGCTCTGCTGCTGCTATTGCCTTGTTGAGCCTCCGCCGTCCTCGTCGAATCGCTAGGTCGAGCTTCCACGTCGGGGACCGTGAAAAGATCTTCATCACTCTCCTCTGAACATCACAATACCAACAAAAGCTCAAAATTTTCCATTCAATATAAAACACAAACCTTAAACTCCGGTAAACCTAATGACACTGCTGAGGTTTGTGGATCACCAACCTATTTTATTATTCTCTTTAGAAGCAAGAAAAGAGCTCCGCCACGAAGAGCTCTGGTCGTAGCTCGACGATGGATTACCGTCAAGAAGTGACATTTGATTTGGCTACCGTTTAGCTGCCGAAAAGTGTAGATACGGCAGATGATCTCCGGCGATAAAGTTATAGAAGGAGAGAGAGAGAGAGAGATTTGGTTTTGGGGTTGTACTTGGTTGTCTTGTGGCCAATCGGGAGTCTGGAGAAATGGAGGAGAAATGAGAGACGTGGCAACTGTTATCTCATTTTTATTTCCCCTCTGGCCAACTCGAGACGCGTAAGACGTAAGGAGCTAAAACTTTTAGCTCCAACTGAATAGGAGTGAAAGGCACCTTCCGAAGGTGGACGACAAGCCACGTCATCAATGATGAGATAATCTTAAACTTGTATTGATGGCATTGATTACGTGGCCGTATATTTCACCGGTCAATGGTCCTACTTACTATACGCTCCTTCAATGAAGCTGCAAAAGTGAACTCTGGTTCCTGTGAAAACACGTTGATGTATAGATGACCGCCACTTTTTATTTTTTTTGTCATCAAAAAAGTGTGAAAAAAAGGGTACAATATACAATTTGTGAATGTGAGATATAGATATCATAGAAAAAAAAGGACAAGTACGAATACACACGATGTAGAATTCTGAATTCCAGTCCCCTATAGGACCACATCTTGCCCGTAAATTTGGCATCAATTTACTGTCAGGATATAATATCACTTTCTAGCAGTCAATCCCCTGTCTACGGCTGTCTGATTACCAAAGAAAGAGATCCAACGGTTAACCGAAAAGACGAATATATGAGTTAGTTTGGCCAACAGGCCCAACACCCTTTCTAGCAGTCTACCCTATCCTCCTCCCTCCAACTCCAAAACAAAATCATACACACCGGACCTTACGTTTTTATAAATATCTGCTGGGGTTGAGTGATTGCTGGCCGTATCCTACTTTTCTAAATTATCGAAGTTAGAAAGGACAAATAAATCTGAAAAAAGGTAGAAAGCTTTTTATCTGAAAGCCCATAATATCACTTCATTGGGCTACACAACCGGGAAAGCCCATCCCCATCTCCTTTAGTCCTTCACGCTATCACTTGGTTGCCAATGCCATAATACCTCAGTTTCCATCCTATAAAGCTGTGTTTGGTTTGAAGGAAAAAGTAGAGAAAGAAAGAGAAAGGTAATGAAACTTATACAAGCTTTTGTAAAGGTTTCCTAACTCTTCCCTTCCTTTCTCTACCTTTTCCTTCAAACCAAACATAGTCTAAATGAAAAGGGAAAACTCATTGGGCTGTGCCGATTTGACATGATTTTATCTGCCCTAGCACGACAGTAGGTGTGAATATATGGGTGTTGTTCAAGCCTATGGGCCGGTATAGAATGGCATGATATATATAAATAATTATGTATATTAAAATTCAAATAAAATAGAATTTGAAGTATTTTTTCATTTTTGTCTATATTGTTAATTTATTTTAAAATTTTCATTATTTATTTTTATTTTTTTTAAAAAACATGCCTCTCATAATTTTGCCCGATATGCAGCTCGGCGTGTGGCACGGCATGTCCTGGGCCTACCTGCCCTTACGCCATGGGCCATGTCAGGCCGAACTTGTAAAGTATCCCAGTGGTAACAAGCACAACCCACCAAAAGCACAAGCCGCCCATGGGCCGTGCCATTTACACCTCTATACATGGATATCATTCATTGAATCTAGAGGCCAAGGCCAAAGCATAAAATCTTGTTAATTTAGGAAAAGCAGCTTAAAATCTATTTTTTGTAAGAATTAAACGAGAAGATAAAATGAAGCACTAATGTGTTGTGAATAAGTGTAGAAATGAAGTGAGGGCAATTTCATTAGAATAAATTTTCAGTGAAATAAGTGTAGATATTATTTATGTCCAATTTATATATGCACTTGTACCCTTATATCATGGTCACTAATCACTAACATTGACCTAACATAAGGTAGGATTGGTTTAATTCAGTTTCACTTAATTGTGCCAACTGAACCAATACTGTCGAGTTGATATTCCGATTAATCGAAACCAATGGATAGGGTCTTAAAACTGATTGTGGTATTGTTTGGATCCCACCATGAAATTAGACTAGATGTGTGGGAGAGATGGACTTCATTCAGCCAAATGTACAAGTTTTACAAATTCGACAAACAATATACTAGGTATCTAAGAGATAACCTCAATTTTGTTTTTTTATTTATTTTTTATGTGACCGGGAGAGTGTAGGACTGGACAAAGAAAGACTAGGAGCTATCGACTGAAATAGTACAAATACAATGACATTAAGAATTACACTTAGATGCCACTAATTATTATATCATAACATATGATAAGATGGGTTCGGTCCAAACTCAGCTTACAAAGAAACTGATAAGTCAGGTTCTACAATCAATAAAACCGAAGCCAACCCAACTCATTTGTGAATCAACCAAATTGGATTTAATCATGCCTGGTTTGATCTTCTTTTACCATTTTCTGCACAGCCCTAGTGTTTGAAGGGAGTATCCAGAGCTAGAAGTATGAAAAAATAGAGTAAGCTTAAGAAAATCCCAAAAAGTTAATTAGGAGGGAAATTCTTTTTAAAGTAGGGTAATTTTCTTAAACTATTTTTACGGTTTAATTAATTGATTAATTTTACCTTTATTGTTTAATTTTCTTGCATCATCCCTGCTATTTCTAATAATTTTCTAAAACCTCTCTCATTGTTACCTCACCATGAACCGTGTAAATGTGATCTCACACTGTTATATTTTTCGAAAATTTCTAATTTACCCCTTGTACTTTCCTTTCTCCTCACCACAGAAGATAGTTCATCTACTAGGAAGAAGAGGAATTTTACTCCCCGAGAATTTTGCAAGCCAAATGGACAGAATTTCCTATGTTTCTGTCCAAATCGGCAGTCTTCAGTTCTTTCCAATAAGATTTCTTTTTTTTCTAAATCTATCTCTCAATTCTCTCTTCTGATGTCACCTATGGGTGAAAACCATCTGGTTTGTTTTCTTCTTGGGTGGTGTTTCTCTTTTTTAAGTTGTAAAATTTGATTGGTTGACGAGGACATGATCGATATATTGTATGTGATCAATGCTTCGAGCTTGATTCTGTTGCGGGCTCTTAATGTGACCATTGAGGAAGTTTGTGAAGTCCTTTTTGAAGGTAACTGCTAGAGATAACTCCACACTAGCCACATCATCAGTCATGTCATCAGTTAGATAGCAACAATAATTTGTTATTTGTGAAGGGATGATAGATCCATCATATGGATGGCCGAACCCAACAGGAAGGTTAGGTGAAATTTCAAAGATTTCTCTCCCTCCCATTTGGGAATCGCATTCCCTATTTTAGAAAACTGCATTTTCAATGATCAATCTTGAACCCAAAATTGGATCAGATCTAAAACCAAAAGGGATGAGGGGGATATGCCTGATACGAAGTAGCAGTAACTCCCAGTGAAGGTGTTCATGCCCAAGGAGAAGACCAAAACCCGCTTCCACTAAAGATGACACATTGTGTGAAGAAACAGGATCAGCAGGATGGCTCTTCAGCAAGAACTAGGATTCTTTAGCAAGAATCAAACAGAGGATGGTGAGCACGACTTCAGATTGTTTCTTCAATCAAGAAACAATATCAAGAATCTTTCTTGATCTATTCCACAAGAGGAGATCGAACTGGGTAGGGATGGCAAGAATATGAGAGAATTCTGCAAGTTGCGTTGTGTGTGCTTTTTTTTTTTTAATTGAGGAATTCGCCCCCTTATTTGTAGTCTTCTTTGGATCAGCCTCCTAATCCAATTAGGAGAGTTTCTTGATCCAAATCTGATCTTTGGATCTGGACTCTTAAATGGATAAGACTTATCTAATCCTTTCAGCTAATCCTAATCAGATCTTGCCTCCTTTTAATTAACCAATTTAAGCCCAGTTCGAATTGGGCTTTAGGCCCATTAAGGGGCTGATCATGTCACTATGATCACCCACTCAGGTGAATTCTCCGACTATCCCAACATACCCAAGTTTTGACCCCCTCTAAGGATCTCACTGATTGGCATATCAAAGACAACCCAATCCGACACCTAGTGCAGTATCATAATCGAGTCTAAGGGTCAGGTGTAACATTCTAGTTTTGCCCATCTGTCTCTAAGGTCCAGGGCAATACTGGAATTTTGTCCGGTTCAGGGTTTCAAGAAAACCCATACTGTATGTGCCTCAGGTCTCACTCTGGCAGCTGAGACAAGCCACTCCAACCAACTTGGTGGTACATCAGTGTCAGCCTTGGCAGGATAAATCTTCCCACATCTATCTAACGGCTATGAATATTCTAAATTAACACGAGTCTCATAAGTGTCCAGTTTAAGGGTATTACACATAAAAATACCACAATGACATGAATCAATTATGTACTTTATTCATTTATAATAAATGTCAAAAGATACATCAATCTGATTGGAGCTAAGGACATAACTGTCCAATAGCTCCCACTTACACTTAGGTCCAATCGGGTACAAGCCAAAGTCCCATACTTTCCACGTGTTTCTCAAAAAATTTCTGTGTCAATGGCTTAGTCAATGGGTCTGCCACATTCTCCACTGATGCGACCTTCTAACATAAATCTCCCATAGATCCAGTGTTGTCACACAATAGTGGAATGGGTGATGTGCTGAATTCCAAATTCCAGAATGAACACCTTCATTCATTAGGCAGCCTCACTTACAGCAATGGTTTCGGCTTGGGTTGTGGACTATTTTTCTTACTATACAGGACCCCATCGTAAAGATGTAACCAGAAGTAGACATTCTACCATCTAGATCTGACTAGTAGTCGGTATTAGTAAAACCTTGGATCTATACTGAACTACCATCGAATACAAGACAAAACTCTTTTGTCCTTCGAAGGTATTTCAGTATGTTATTCACAGTAGTCCAGTGTTCCTGTCCTGGGTCAGACAAGTATTACTTACCACACTCACTACCTGAGCAATGTCAAGACGAGTGCACAACATGGCATACATGATGCTCCCTACGACTGAGGCATAGGGAATCTCCTTCATGCCCTTAATCTCCTCGGGAGTCTTGGGAGACATACCCTTGGAGAGAGCGACTCCGTGCCTGAAAGAAACATTTCCTTTCTTAGAGTTCTCCATACTATATCTCTTGACAGTCTTGTCAATGTAAGTAGACTAGGATAATCCTATTGTCCTCTTTGATCTATCTCTATAGAATCGAAGTCCCAAGTTATAGG